CCACTGAAGTTATGATAGTCATCAACTTAGCTCCATCATATGAGCCTAATTCATTTCCTAGGGCACAATATAATGGGTTATAGTAGCTTGTGTTTACCGTACATGAATCATCTCATCCACACATTCTACCTCAGTTTAACGGTTGTTGGTTGTACGTCAATGATGGTTGTGACAGTTTCACCCAAGGATGACCATAATCTCTATCTCTTCTAGCTCTAAGCTAGCAAATCTAGAACAAAGTAGATTTTACCCACTTTAACAAGAAAATCCTCTATGATACCTAATGGGTAGCAAATTGTTCTATATATCTTCCCATTTTAACACTATAGTTGTTGCATGGAGCCCCCTCCCCCACGCCAAGGTCAATGTTAGCACCAAGGTCACAAATAGATTTTACCTCCACTATTTTTCCCATATGATAAGGTGCAACGAAGCTTTCAGGGTCCTTCAACTTAGGAGGCAAATTAATTTGGAGACTAGAACTATGCTCCTTCCTAGGGGCTATGGTTTCAAATTCCGTCAATTTCATTTTGTTGGAAAGACTGTCTTTGAGAAATTTGGCATCAAAAGTAATTTTCGCAATAATTTCGGGGAAGGGGCGACGTTGATGCTTAAGTCAGTGAAGATGTGTAGGAACCTCATATATTGCTTGCTATCATACTTTTCTTACACCTTTGTGCTCCAGCAAAGGATAACACCAGCATCGGTGCAATTACTCATATTTTGGTTGAAATAACCAGGCTGCAACAAAGTCAATTTGAAGGAAAATTGAGCCTCCGGTTAAAGCGCTTTACCTATCATTCTTAAAAGAGGGTAAGGGAAATCAAATGCAATCTAAGCAAGACGCCCTGGAATTCCATTCTGTAGGGAAGGAGAACCTCCTTTGTGCATATGGGGTGGATGTGACATAACCTCGCATGGATGGTGGTGGTGAGACAAGCTCTTCTAGCCATCATCTCCTTTCTTTTTCATGGGTTGATCAAGAATTTTTGGACACCTCATTTTCTTTCCACTTCTCAAATGATTGTCATAACACTCTATCTCCCTTGATTGATTTATGTTATGGGGAACCTCCATTGCTACCTTGTGCTTCTCTCTTGAGCATGTTGGCCAATTTGTTTCCAAGCTTATGAATGCAACTCTTTTGTGCTATTCAAGATTGTCCATTTTAATTTAATTTTTTTTGACGAGTTTACAATTTTGATCTTTAAATCGGAGGTCAAGCTTTGTGAGGAAATAGCCTTATTAAAAAAGTGCGTTTTGCACTACTTTTGTCCAATTAAATATATTGCACTTCACGTCGGCATTACTACTCGATATTACTGCACATTCGATTAGAATCATTGCAATTCCCATCAACATTATATCTCTTCCCACCCACATTTGGAATTTATAGTTCTTTTTTATTTTATTTTTAAATTTGATAACATTAAGATTTTAAGTCCAATTAAACATACTCCGTATCGCATTTCATGTCGGCGTTACTGCTTGACATTATTGCACTTCCGGTGTAAATTATTGCACTTCCCGACAACATTACTTCTCTTCACACCCACATTATTTCCCTTCGGTGGCGTTGTTGCCCTTCACCGCCATTCATGTCGGCATTACTAATAAATGTCATTAAACAATAAAAAGAAGAAAAAAGAAAATTAAATAAGCAAATTGTGAGAATATCTATTGTCTTTGTTTCACTGTACATCACCCTCATTCGGTGCATTCATTCACTGCGCAAGTTCAATACCGGGAATCCGGGATTATGGTGTCGTTGAGAGAAAGGAAGAACATATCTTCTTGTCTGTCTGAGAGCGCAACCCTTGTTCATCAAGACGATGGGACAGTCCTTCTTCCCTAACCATTGGTGCAACACGTCCTTCAGGCACCCCATTAACCGTAATTTCAAGAGATACAAAAAGAAGGAAAAGAAGAAGAATGTTGTCCCTTTGATGCTGCTGCTACCGCCGCTTTTCAACATCCTCCCCTCTACCCCGCCATTGTCTTCAACGCTACATAGATGTGTGTACAAAAAATGTATAAATAAAATTTTTGAAATTAAAATAGGACAAATGTAACGGTCAAACCAATACTACGTATAATGTCCTAACAGATTAATTGAAAAAAAAATAAGACATTCAAAAAAAATCTAACAGTTTGATTGAATAATTAAGAATCAATCACACATTCATACTCAAATGTGTATGATACTTGCACGTTTCACTGATTTGGCTCTTAATTATCGTACGGCAGGTGTCTCTATCATTTCATTTTTTTATAATTAGAAAAAGAAAAAAGAAGGATTAATAATGTAATGGGAGTATTAATTAAGAAATATCCTACTCAACCACTCGCTTTGGAGTTTTTTTCCGTATTAATGTTAATTAATTAATTAATTACGAAAATAGGGTTGGGTTAAAAGTATTTACCAAAATACTGCTGGGTTAACCATGGTCGGGGGTAAGTCGCCCAATATAGTTGGCGACCCAACCGTTGGGCGACTTACCCTTAAGTAAATGGGATAATTACCCCATTACTAATGTCTCCCATGAATACCACATGGGTAATTACATTGCCCGGTTGGTCACCAGGTCCCAACTAAAATGGAGAGGATGGGGTCGCTCATGTTTTCGACGAAGCTCTGAGCACGCTGATGTGAAGTTCATTGATACAAAGTTGCGGCACCGAACCCTCCTTACTGCTCTGATACCATGCTATTTTAAGGAGCAAATACAATTCATTAATTTGGTAAAATCTTGCTCTGCTTTACATGAAGACCGAGAGCCTATATATATATACATGTACAATGATCGAAACTAGCTAGTAACTTGAGCCCTTGGCCCGTATACATATTAACAAATAATAATGGAATTAGTAAGGCCCACATGGGCCGAATACCTCCAGCCATCATTGATGTTTTTAGGATGGTCAATTTGATAATTGGATGTGCTCCTTTCAATATTTGAGGGTAAGATGATTAATCCTAACTTGATCACGTACCTTCCCATCCACTGAAGTTATGATAGTCATCAACTTAGCTCCATCATATGAGCCTAATTCATTTCCTAGGGCACAATATAATGGGTTATAGTAGCTTGTGTTTACCGTACATGAATCATCTCATCCACACATTCTACCTCAGTTTAACGGTTGTTGGTTGTACGTCAATGATGGTTGTGACAGTTTCACCCAAGGATGACCATAATCTCTATCTCTTCTAGCTCTAAGCTAGCAAATCTAGAACAAAGTAGATTTTACCCACTTTAACAAGAAAATCCTCTATGATACCTAATGGGTAGCAAATTGTTCTATATATCTTCCCATTTTAACACTATAGTTGTTGCATGGAGCCCCCTCCCCCACGCCAAGGTCAATGTTAGCACCAAGGTCACAAATAGATTTTACCTCCACTATTTTTCCCATATGATAAGGTGCAACGAAGCTTTCAGGGTCCTTCAACTTAGGAGGCAAATTAATTTGGAGACTAGAACTATGCTCCTTCCTAGGGGCTATGGTTTCAAATTCCGTCAATTTCATTTTGTTGGAAAGACTGTCTTTGAGAAATTTGGCATCAAAAGTAATTTTCGCAATAATTTCGGGGAAGGGGCGACGTTGATGCTTAAGTCAGTGAAGATGTGTAGGAACCTCATATATTGCTTGCTATCATACTTTTCTTACACCTTTGTGCTCCAGCAAAGGATAACACCAGCATCGGTGCAATTACTCATATTTTGGTTGAAATAACCAGGCTGCAACAAAGTCAATTTGAAGGAAAATTGAGCCTCCGGTTAAAGCGCTTTACCTATCATTCTTAAAAGAGGGTAAGGGAAATCAAATGCAATCTAAGCAAGACGCCCTGGAATTCCATTCTGTAGGGAAGGAGAACCTCCTTTGTGCATATGGGGTGGATGTGACATAACCTCGCATGGATGGTGGTGGTGAGACAAGCTCTTCTAGCCATCATCTCCTTTCTTTTTCATGGGTTGATCAAGAATTTTTGGACACCTCATTTTCTTTCCACTTCTCAAATGATTGTCATAACACTCTATCTCCCTTGATTGATTTATGTTATGGGGAACCTCCATTGCTACCTTGTGCTTCTCTCTTGAGCATGTTGGCCAATTTGTTTCCAAGCTTATGAATGCAACTCTTTTGTGCTATTCAAGATTGTCCATTTTAATTTAATTTTTTTTGACGAGTTTACAATTTTGATCTTTAAATCGGAGGTCAAGCTTTGTGAGGAAATAGCCTTATTAAAAAAGTGCATTTTGCACTACTTTTGTCCAATTAAATATATTGCACTTCACGTCGGCATTACTACTCGATATTACTGCACATTCGATTAGAATCATTGCAATTCCCATCAACATTATATCTCTTCCCACCCACATTTGGAATTTATAGTTCTTTTTTATTTTATTTTTAAATTTGATAACATTAAGATTTTAAGTCCAATTAAACATACTCCGTATCGCATTTCATGTCGGCGTTACTGCTTGACATTATTGCACTTCCGGTGTAAATTATTGCACTTCCCGACAACATTACTTCTCTTCACACCCACATTATTTCCCTTCGGTGGCGTTGTTGCCCTTCACCGCCATTCATGTCGGCATTACTAATAAATGTCATTAAACAATAAAAAGAAGAAAAAAGAAAATTAAATAAGCAAATTGTGAGAATATCTATTGTCTTTGTTTCACTGTACATCACCCTCATTCGGTGCATTCATTCACTGCGCAAGTTCAATACCGGGAATCCGGGATTATGGTGTCGTTGAGAGAAAGGAAGAACATATCTTCTTGTCTGTCTGAGAGCGCAACCCTTGTTCATCAAGACGATGGGACAGTCCTTCTTCCCTAACCATTGGTGCAACACGTCCTTCAGGCACCCCATTAACCGTAATTTCAAGAGATACAAAAAGAAGGAAAAGAAGAAGAATGTTGTCCCTTTGATGCTGCTGCTACCGCCGCTTTTCAACATCCTCCCCTCTACCCCGCCATTGTCTTCAACGCTACATAGATGTGTGTACAAAAAATGTATAAATAAAATTTTTGAAATTAAAATAGGACAAATGTAACGGTCAAACCAATACTACGTATAATGTCCTAACAGTTTAATTGAAAAAAAAAATAAGACATTCAAAAAAAATCTAACAGTTTGATTGAATAATTAAGAATCAATCACACATTCATACTCAAATGTGTATGATACTTGCACGTTTCACTGATTTGGCTCTTAATTATCGTACGGCAGGTGTCTCTATCATTTCATTTTTTTATAATTAGAAAAAGAAAAAAGAAGGATTAATAATGTAATGGGAGTATTAATTAAGAAAATCCATGGTTGGGTCGCCAACTATATTGGGCGACTTACCCTTAAGTAAAAATCGGGTCTCGCCCCAAACAGAACACTTCACAGAACCCTCCCCAACTAAAAGCAGCTGCTGCGACGGACGAAGAAGAAGACGGACGAACCGCCATCTCCAACTCCGGCGCTCCTCCATCTCCGGCGACTCCACTCCGGCAACCCTCCATCTTCATCTTCAACACTCTTTACTCCTTATTCTAGGTAAATTCAAATCCATTTCATATAATTTTGCACTTAGGGTTTAGAATGTTAATTTTTTTTTAATTTTGGGATTATGAATTGATTGTGAATGAAGTTGTTGTGAAATGTGAATATGTATGAAATGTTGAAATATGATTTTAAATTGTTTGTAAATTGTAATGTGTATTTTGACATTTGGGCATTTGGGTATAGTTGAATGTACCTAAATTTGGGTATTCAAAGGTAGACATTGAATGTAGATATCAAAATTTGGGTAGTTTGTTATTGAAATGTGAATTGTTTGTGAATTTGGAGTTAATGATATATTACAATTTTGGAAGCAATTTCTATTAAAAATGTGAATGTGTATAAAGTGTGTATATTGATGCCTACTCATGAATGTTGGACAATGAGTTGTTATTAGAAGATGGATTTCTCAAGCTTCCCACTCGTGTGTCATTGGGGAGGGAACTATTATGAGAATGGTGGGCAAATATGCCATGAAGGTGGCAGAACGAGCTTTGTCATGGTTTCTCGTGGCGCTTGCATGGTCGAGATCCTTCAAAAAATACATGCAGCGACAATGATTCATCCCGGCCGTTCATTGCGGTTGAAAATGAAATTTCCCATGAACGGGGGAAAGTACATGCTTATGCCGCTCATTGATGAGCTAGCTATAACAAATATGTGGGGCATAATTCAGATGGAGGATATGTCGTCGCTGGAGGTATACATTGAGGAATGCTTTGACGCTAATGCTACTCAATCGACATCAAATGTTGTTGTATCTAGGCATGATGTCATTGCAGGGGTGAATGCAGGGAAGTCGTCAAAGGTTCCTGTACTAGACATGGTTATACAGGAGGATGGCAGGTATTTGCATAACGGTGCATCATTTGTGGATGGGCAGGGAAGTGATGATGATGCAGACGAGAACATCAATGGTGACGACATGACAGAATCTGATGAAGATGATGGTGATACTGTGACATCAACTGCCCCGTCTAGCCACTTCACTAGAATGTATGATCTCCCTGAAGGTTTTACTGATGCGTGGATGAGTGGATCAGGTGAGAAAAGGTTTACCCCCGATGGTGAGTTTGAGGTCGGTCAACAGTTTGACAACAAAGAACAAGTCATCAATATGGTGAGCTTGTATTCTATCAAACGGAACCAATTCTATCGGGTGATAGAGTCCGACAAACACAAATGGGTGGCACAATGCAAAAGGAAGAAAGAATGTCAATGCCCCTGGAGAATACGCGCCACAAAGAACAAAGGCAACCTTGACACCTTCACAATTGTGCGTTATTCTGGACCTCATTCTGCTTCTTGTGTAGGCAACATCGACACTACAGATCACGTGGCCTTGACATCAGAATTCATCTGTAAAGATGTGGTTGACATTATTCGCACTGATCCTTCTCTTAAAGTGCATACTATCATCGAGATGTTGAAGGAAAAATATGGGTATACGGTATCTTACCGGAGAACATGGATGGGGAAGCAAAAGGCCATAGCACAAATATTTGGCGGTTGGGAAAAGTCATATTTCGAATTGCCCCGTTTCATGACAGCGCTCCAACATTCTAATCCAGGAACTGTTGTTCAGTGGTACCCACCCCCCAATGGTGCGACAGGTTATATGATGTTTCAAAGAGTTTTTTGGGCATTCAAGGCATCAATATCTGGTTTTAAGCATTGTCGACCCGTACTTACTATTGATGGCACACACATGTATGGAAAGTACAAGGGCACATTGCTCGTGGCCATGGGTTGTGATGCGAACAACCAAATTTTCCCAGTCGCCTTTGCAGTTGTTGAATCCGAGAATGGAGACAGTTGGCCATGGTTTATGGCATGTATTAGGCATTTTGTGACTAACAGGGAGTTGTGTGTCATTTCAGATAGACATGGAGGTATTGTTAGGGCAATGAATGAGGTTGGAAGTAATTGGGAGGAGCCTTATGCGCATCATAGGCTATGCATCCGTCATCTTGCTTCAAATGTGCATACTCATTTCAAAGACATTCATTTAAAAAATCTATTTGTGTGGACCGCACGGCAACATCAGAAAAAAAAATTTGATGGTGGGTTCAAGAAGATAGGTGAAATGAGTAGGGATGCACGACAATTTTTGGCCAACATTCCTCCAGAAATGTGGTCGCTGCACCATGATGGCGGGTACAGATACGGTACCATCACTTCAAATCTGGCTGAGGTTTTCAATAGCGTCATGAAAAATGCTAGATATTTGCCCATTACCGCCTTGGTCCAGGTGTCTTTTTACCGGGTTAATGCGTACTTTGTGAATAGGCGTGAAACTAGTAAGTTGAGGCTCACACAAGGCCACGAGTACTCCCCATACATCACAGATTTAATTGAAAAAAATAGAGAGAAGGCAAAGCATCACATTGTCACTCCTTTTGATTTAGGGCGAGGCATATTTCAGGTGGAGACCGGTTGTGGTGGCAGAACGTTGGGAAAGGGTGGGAGAAAACAAACTGTCCATCTACAACGGAAAACGTGCACTTGCAAAAAGATGGAGATATACAAGATTCCTTGCTCCCATGTATTAGCCGTGTGTAGACAACGTAGTTTGTCTTATGCTCCATTTGTGGATAAGTTCTTCTCTTCTGACCAATACGCCGCCACGTATCATAGGGTGTTCAAACCGATTCCTGATCGTGATTATTGGCCAAATTACAATGGACCCGAAATCGTGCACGATCCATCCATGCTTCGGGCAAAGGGAAGATCAAAGTCGACCCGTATTAAGAATGAGATGGATGAAGTCCCACGGGGAACGGTTAGATGTGGAAGATGCCACCAAACCGGCCATAATAGAGCGACATGTGCAAAGAGATCATTTAGACAAGAGGGGGGATCCGCCGGGTATGTGTATATTTAGAGTCAATCATAATTCATTATTTCCTTGCAAGGAAAATTAATAAATTCAAAAAAGGAAGTTAAAAAAAATGTAATACATTATACAATTACAACTAATACAATTACAACTAATACAAATTTTGTTTGTAGGCATGGAGGTGATAGCGGATCCTGGGCCGAGTGATCCTTCTGTCCTGACACTGCAGGCCTCACACAGGAGTGAGGATGTTTGGCTTGGCATGGATGTGCAGGTAGATAGGTGCCGCGAGCATCTGCGGGGTTTGTCCCATTTACATGTCGACCCCAGAGTCCTAGCATATGTTCGTGCAGCAGGTTTTTTTACACTGCACAGGTTAGTGGCTACTGTGCCTTTAGATAGAGCCCTCCTCACTGCTCTACTTGAGCGTTGGAGGCAGGAGACACATTCATTTCACCTCCCTGTTGGTGAGGTCACTGTGACATTGGGAGATGTGGCTGTACTGACTGGGTTAGAGGTTGATGGGAGAGCTGTTACAGGCACTGCTTGTCGACAGTGGGTGGATGAGTGTGAGAGGTTGTTAGGCATCCGCCCCGTTCTTAGGGCTGACCTTCAGGGGTCATCTCTTAGGATGCCATGGTTGAGGGAGCACTTCCAGGCCCTTCCTCCCGACGCTGATGAGATGATCATCCAGCAGCATGCTCGGGCGTATATATTGATGATGATGGGAGCCTCCATTTTCGCTGACAAGAGCGGAAATGAGGTTCAGGTGCTACACCTGCCTTTGCTGGAGAGGTTTGATGTAGCAGCACAGTTTAGCTGGGGTAGTGCCACCCTGGCTTATCTCTACAGGCAGCTGTGTCGCGGGTGCCAGAGAGGGAGCACAGAGCTGGGGGGATTTTTGCTACTCCTCCAGATTTGGTCATGGGAGTATATCCACATTGGCCGTCCCATTATAGTTGGATATCATGGCATTGATGGACAGCCACTGCCTGATGAGCCTCCACGTCTGCTAGGACCACATCATGTACGGGGCGTGGACCCTCTAGGCCGTCGGTATGTTTTCAATCGTTTGTATTTGTGTTAGTTTTTGTTGAATGTAAATGCATTAATAAAATCCATATTATTGATATTGTAACATTAATGGTTAGGTGGCTATATGCTGGTTTATCTCGCATGTCATCCGCTACTGGCCTCGGTGTGTACAGGGATGCATTGGATCGGATGTCAGAGGACCAGGTATGGTGTGTGTGGTATAACAGTAACTAGAATAGGTGTAGAATAAATACTAATTTTGTATGTTTACGAAACAGATCACATGGATGCCGTATAGACCTGATATGTTAGCAGAGTTGCCCCCAGCTGGACGAGAGCATACTCACATATGGCGAGCACGTGTGCCGCTGATATGTTTTGACATTGTTGAGCTTCATTTGCCTGATAGAGTCATGCGACAGTTTGGGTTTGAGCAGGTCATTCCACGTCCTATCGACACTTATGTAGAGCTGCATAAGCTGGATAGGCGTGGGAAGCATACAGAGGATTGGGCACTCAGACATGTCCGATACGTGACTATGTGGGATAGGAGAGCTGAGCTAGCCGTGGCTGGGACACCCACATATGTGCCATCAGTTTCAGGAGATTACATGGGATGGTACTACAGCATCACTCGGTTGTTTGTGTCTCCTTCGTTCAGACTCCCTACTCATCATTATCAGCCTAGCTCATTGGCATTGCATCTTACGGTGAGTATATTACTAATTAGTAAAGTAAGTCATTTTATTTATGTAATACTTGTATGTATTTGAATGTAATTGTAATTGTGTTTCGTATTGCAGACCCGAGCTTTGCAGCGCATACATCAGCGGGCTACTGCCACTGTGACTGATATTCCTGATGTGGAGATGTATGGACAGACTCTGACAGGCATTGCCTCGTTATGCTCAGATGTGTTGGGTCGAGTAGACTACGGACATCTTATACACATGCCCGCATCTCAGGAGATGGCATCCACGTCTAGTGCAGCCGCGGGTTCATCATCCCAGACGCAACATGAGAGAGTGGTTCTTCAACCACGACAACGCCGTAGGCGTAGACATGAGCACCAACATCTCCATGACGAAGCTGATGATGGGAACTTGTAGTTTGTCTTTTGTATTATAGTTTTTCTTATGCAATAGATGTTGTAGGAACAATTTACAAGTTTTGATGTATTTTCTCTTGTTAAGTATTCTATGTTGTATTGATGTGTTCGAGTATGAATATTACATGATTATTTGTTATGGCATATATGATGATTGAACTGTGTTATACCGGTTATGATTTGAAAGTTTTTTAGCGGTGTTTATAAGGTGTTTTTTATGTTGTTGAGAGTATGTGATTATCATGTGTTGTATCTAGTTTGTAACACTTCAAAAGGAGAAAGGAGACCTTATTTGTAGCAAACAGATCGGTCTGGATTGAACCGGGGCAAAAAACAAGCTGATTTGGTGTTTTAGGTAATAGGCACGATCGTGCGTAACGAAATACGCACGATCGTGCGTGGCCGGCAGTAGGTGCTCGGTTGAAACCATATTTCAGGGCAAAGTCGCCCAACCGTTGGGCGACTTATAAGTCGGCAAACGGTTTGGCGACTTATAAGTCGCCCAACGGTTGGGCGACTTTGCCCTGACCACGGTTAAGGCCCAGCAGTATTTTGGTAAATACTTTTTTTCCAGCATTATTTCCGTAAATAATTAATTAATTAACATTAATACGGAAAAAAACTCTTCCTTTGAGCTCTCAGAGCCTAGTATTTGAAAGGCATATATCGTTTTCTCCACATTTTGCAACACATTTTATTTAATTGAAATGGATAGAATTGAAAGACAATTGAAAGAGAAACCCAACAAATTAACCTGTGTGTCCATTTGAAATTTGGAAAAAGCCAACGAGATTTCAGATTTTTTTTGGAATGAAAATAAATGTTTGAGAAAAATAAAATAATTAATGTTTATTAATTTTTTAACCTTTTAAATTTATATCTATATAGGTAATAGGTACCATACACATAAAAACACCAGCCATATGAAACGAAATAAAGCATTTTACCACATTTACAATGATTATAGTTATCTATTGCCATATTATTTTCGATGTACAAAAAAATTGTACAGTATAATTATATGTAGTTAATTAGTTATAGCAACTAAGAAGTCATCTTTGTTGCTGGGCTTCCAGGGAACAGGCATAAACATCTCAAATTAAACTGGAAAGGAACATATAGAAAACGCAAGAGGAATGCAATCACATAGCTATGCAACGAAATATGGATAATCTATGTCCATATTTTGCCATCCCCACATAACAAGAAAAATGCAAAAATGGTATCAATTATCAATTCATATTATATTTAGAGCTGGCAGGCCGTGACATGGGCTGATCAGTGCATCTGCAATCTGCATGCATTCAAATGATTTGGTGATGATTTTATCTTGATTACATTTATATCTTATGGACAAAATTAATTAATACTATCGTACTATTATATCCTCTACTTATGATTATGTAACTAGTATATGCCTAATCAGTAATCTGTAATCTATCTATAGATTATAGATATATGTGTGTTAGATATAATATACTTCCTCTAGTGGAGGAGCTGGGGAGGGGCATCAGGGGGCAAGCGCCCCCGCTTCGGGAAAAAAAAAACTAGTACTGTTACTTATAATATATTTAATGTCCCCCTTCTTCTTTTAAAAAATCAAGACTAATCAAGGATAATTTTTAATAAGTGTTAAAATAAAAGGTATAGTCTTTCAGGAAACGTACGTGTCTCTAGGATTACGATACACATATTAGCTACAGCATACCACACTCATTTGAATGCCAGTGTGGATTGTTTTAGACTTTTATTGACACACTAGTTGACTTTTCATGATTTTAGTGAGCAAGAAAGTATTGAATTTGATGTATGTGTTGTCACATTTCTTGTAACAAAAAGGTCAAAACATTCTCAAAATTGTGATGGAATCCCTCCTTAATGGAGAAATTCATGAGAATTTTATAATTTTCAGAAATGTCTAAGATTCTCTATTTGTGTGTAGAGATTTCAATTCTGGAATAGTAATGTGGAATTTTCTAGAGAAGTGTGGCACTAGCTCTATAACATTTTGAAGAATTGTGGAGTTCTCTAAATCCTTCAAAAAGATTAAAGAAGTTTGTCGATACTTTATTGGAAGAATCTAGATGTGTAGTGATGTATAAAAAAGTTTAAGAAAAGCTTTGATGAGGTAAGTATAGAGAAGCTTCCTATTTCTACGAGAACCTTGAGGAGAGCTCTTGAATGAGTGAAAGCAAGAGTCTTCTTGAGAGATGAAAGTGAGATCCTTCTTGTCGGAGAAGAAGACTCAAATATATCGCTTGATGAAGTGTATGTGATCACGTCAGGTAGAGTGTAGTATTGTCATATACAAAGAGTGAATGAGGGTATAATAGAAAGTGATATTGTCGGATTGAGTCATTGTATTATGAGTGTGTGAATAAGTGTACAAGAGTTATGAGCTCATGATCCTGGAAAAGGGTGGAGGTGGTGTTTTTCCAACATGAAGTTATTATGCAACATTTTGAATAAATTAAAACTCATATGATTGATTTACCCATATTATAGATACGAGTCAAGCAATATGTAATGAACTAATTTGTACTAATGGATTACTCTTTTATTGTTTTTATTATATTTTCAGCAAATACACAATAATTCTTAGTTTTCATACGCCCCCCTCGAAAAATCTTTAGCTCCGCCACTGACTCCCTACGTCCCATGTATTACAAAATTGCGGGAGTTTTGAAAAATAACATACAAATTAATAAGTTTGAAACAAATCAAGAGACAAACCAAAACAGTATAACAAAGGGGAAATTTGTTAAAAGAGTCCTGTAACTTTGGCCAATAGCCGATATTGATCCTATAACTTTACATACTTGCAAAATACATCCTTCAACTATTATATTTGTTCAATTTGAGAACATTGCCGTCGGAAAGTTAAATTTTGGCCAAAAAGTTACATGTCAATCTCCCGTTGTTGTAATCTTTTCCTAACGTTTGCAGCTGACTTGGATGTGGGCCCCTTTTATGACTTATTCCCAAACACTTCATTGTGCTCTGATCTCCCAAATCCCCCATTAGAACAATAAAAGCGCAAAACCTAAAAGAAGAACGGAGGCTTCGTAATTCTTGGTCCGGCTTCTCCACATATGGAAGGAAGGTGAGTGTGCGTTCCTCTAAAGTGCAAATAATGGCTCAGACAAGGATCTATGGAATATTATTGTGGTAAGAAGGCCGGTGTTTTAACTTCATAGACTGATATATGACGAGGGAAGGAGGTTCCATGTGTGCTCCAGAAACAGAGTAAGAACTCTAAACTTTTTAATTTTGTAGGTTTCATATTTTGCTTGAAAAAATTAAATATTTTATATGTAGTATTACTTTGATATAAGAGAAAAAAATCTAATGTTAAAGGTTCTAACAAGACATTGGAACAAGATTAATAGTTGATTAGCAAAACTAACGAGTTGTCTTTTACCTGGACCGTTTCTATGGTTACAAATGGAGGCTTTTAAAATTGACAAGTGTCAAGAATTTTAAATAAAAAATAGCCTGAAGTACAGTTTTTTCTTTATGTTCATTTTTACAATTTCATATTTGGAATTTATAAGAAATAAATTAAAGATGTATAATCTACTACTCCGTATTCAGTTTAATCTAACTACTTTTTTTTTAATGTTTTATGAATCAGAGAGTGTTTTCTTTATGTGCAGGATGTTTTAAAATAAGGAGGGTTTGGGAGGGAACCAAAAACAGGGTCTCAAGTCCAGGTTAACTAGGCCATATGAAAAAAATATGAACAAGTGGCGCTGATGTGTTAATTTTCGGCGGAATTATTACTTTCCGACATAAATGTCCTGAAATTGGACAAATATGTTAATTAGAGGACGTATTATGCAAGTAAATGAAATTAGAGGACCAATATCGGGCATCACCAAAAGTTACGGGACTAATTACGGGACTATTATTTGGCTTTTGCACAAAATTAGCAAGGATAGTGAATAATTTAGAAAATGTATAAAAAATTATAGAGAACGATGCAAAAATATGAAAGAGTTGCAAATAGTTAAATACGATAATACTCCCTCTGTCCCATTGGACTTTGCCAACTTACCCTTTTTGGTTGTCCCAAAAAACTTTGTCATTTTCCTATTAAAGTAACTAATTTGTGGTTCTGCACATTTCTTTCTCTTCTACACAAATTTCAACCACACAATTTTTACACTTGTCAAAGTCCACGGGACAGGGAATACTAAATAAAATGAAAGTGTTGAGAACATTCAATTACGAGGCGAGTACAATAATGGAAATATCAAAATAAACGTAAGGGATCGAATATCATCTGATGATTGGACTGACAGGCAATGAAGAATGATAGCTATACACCACGGTTTAGGGACATAACAGATTGGTTTCTTTTTTTAACAGAAGCTTTGAGCACAACGAGACTAGCAGTAATTATCTGCAGCACACCATTCCAACCGTACTTGAGTCGCAAGTTTATATTACCAGTACGTATTATTGAGAAGGATGACAGTTTAATAGTAGTGACTTAATACATACTCCCTCCGGTTCACATTCTTCTTTACACTTTCCTTTTTTGTCAGTCCCACATTCTTCTTTACACTTCCTTATTTGCCTTATTTGGCAAACAAATCTACCTAAAACAGTGCCAAACAGTGTCCAAACAGTGTACTCTACAGTAAAGTCAAATTTACTTTCTTAAAACCTGTGAAGTCAAGGAGATTATGAACCGGAGGGAGTAGTATAACTATGGACTTGGCAGTGGCAGAAAGTACTTTTCGAAAATGTTCTGAGTTCTGGTTCCAGTGGATACATCTTCTCAGGTGGGTTAGTTTAATTGTTTTGGATGAACGGATGGTTGATGGGACCATCCATCACTGGACGGCTATCAAATAGGATGGGCGGCAATGGGTAAGTTCCGGTGATGCTTGTTGGTCGGGTGAGACTTGAGAGGTAGGTTGGTGGTTTCAAAAAACAGAGCAAAGGCGGGTGTTGCGGGTCAGCCCCATCTTGACTTCTGAATCTAATGACTATCAATGACCCCGGGGGGCAAGCTGGTTTTGGACAGTAGGAACGGGGGAATGACTACCTATAATAAAGCACAAGCTAATACGACTCGGCCAGAAGAAGCAAGGGTTGGATTACCAGATCCTGGACACAATCTTCCTAGAGATGGAAAGGACCTTTGCCTTTTTGCACCTCTCCTTGCTTGCTTACCTATAGCTGTAAAGTGTTAGAGACTGTATAATGGGCCGCAAGTTTTTTTGGATCCTTTTGTAATGGGCCACGAGTATTTTTTGTTCTTGTTGCTATTAGGGGTTAGGTTTTACTCTCTATAAATACAAGCTCTCTCCTTGTAATCAACGATCCGAAATTAATAGCAATATCATGGCTTGATAGCGCCCCCAGAAGTAGTCCTTTGTGGCGAACTGGGTTACCAAATTTCGTGTGTTCTTTCTTATTGTTCTTCGTGTTACGTTAGTTAATTCTTAACAATACCTCTCTTGTCTTAGTGACTCTTCTTCACAAGCTATTATTCGAGAACAATGTATTCAACTGCAGCTCTACCTGTGACATAAAACATTAGCATCGGCAACTCTCGCTGCCACAGTTGGAACCAATGAAGCAAATGATTGACCCATCATATCATCTGAACAAACAGAAATAACCAAAAAGTTCGAATTCACTCACTTGGGGAAGATTTGTTAGGATGTTTCTACAACGGGGTTGTAGCTCCTATCCAGAATTATCCAATCTTTGATCTAATTTTTATTTTGCTCTTTCTTTTGTTGCCAGTTGTGCCAAGGTATCTCACAAATTTATTACATAGCAGTATTTATGTTATCAGATTCATGATAACCTGTGTGTTCAAAAATAGTTTCATTAAACCTACTCAGTGGTTAGCGATTCATGTAGCTCTACTCGGTGGTTAGCGATTCATGTAGCTTTTGGAATGGCCGTTTATATGTCTAGTCATACGGCCAACAATACTGGAGAACGATTGGTATCATGTTTGCAGTTGCTCTAATTTTAAATCGTAGTAAAAGTTTTGAAGTATTTCCCGTAAAAATACATAGGGAATTTGATCATGTTAAACTATGCTGGGGGAATAAAAAGGGTTGCAGTCGACAGTGACGGTCTGCCTCAACCACCTATGCGAGGGGATGTTTGGACCAACAGTAAAGGGCTTAAGAAGGATTTAAGTTAATGGAATTAAGAGGAGTTCAAAAACGTTTTTTAAAACATTGCTACAGCTGAGATGGTAGCGTTACAGGCTGATAACAGTTATGAAGAAGATCCTTTTAATCTTGACAAGATCAGTCACACAAAACAGGCTGAGTTATGCAAGAGACTTAAGCAAGAAACTTTTTGGCAACAAACTACCAATATTACCTCTATTAAAGAACGCGATGCATGTACTAATTTTGTTCAAGCATCTGGTAAAGAAAAGCCGCGTAGGCTGGCTATTTGCAGTACTAAAGATGCATCTGGATCTTGGCATTCTTTTCCTCAAGATATTAAAAAGGAGGCTACAAGATATTACTTTGAACTTTTCCAACATTAAGACACTTCTGCCCCAAAGGAGTTCCTAGAACATATTCCTAATGTTGTTGACAATTTTGACAGTGCTCGTCTTCTGCAGATGCCTCAAATAGAAGAGATCGAGCAGTCTGTTTGGCAGCTTAACCCTTGCAGTGCACTAGTGTGTGATTGGTAATTGGTATCCTGGTCTTTTTAGGGCATGTTGGGACGTGGTTGCTCTGGATGTGGCTGGTGATGTGCGGAAACTCTTTTTAGGCAGTCATCATATTCATAAAGTTGTGGCTAGTGCTCAACTAGTTTTCCTGTAAGTTTATTAACAAGATCAAGATACAGCTTTTCCCCAACAAAAATACATTGGAACATCGTCTGAAATTTATTCTGCTATCTCATAATCCAATGTCTTGAATTGTAATCCAAGAATGATGTAAATGTCGCATTAGTTGACTATGTTGACACAAGATATTAGTCTGATCCACAAAAATGCAAAATTACAACCACGATGGTTATTCACTTATGGTGATACCGCTATCTCATGGAGATCAATCAAGCAAACATTAACAGTGACATCATCAAATAATGCAGAACTGATTGCTCTTTATGCAGCAAGCCTAGAGTACGTCCGGTTGACATTAATGATCTAGTGCATACAAAATGAATGTAGCATAAAAACATTTATGTGTGATTCTATTGTGATTTATGAAGACCAACACGGGCACACGGCATGTATAGCTCAGATCAAAGTAAGTTACATCAAATGGAATAAAACAAAGCATATAACATCAAAACTTTTCTCGAGATCTTGAGAAAATAAAAGCAATTGGTATCTAACAAATCAAGTCATGCAATAATCCAGCTCACTTATTCACAAAATCATTGCTCGGAAAGAAGTTTGTAAAACTTATACGAAGTATACAAGATTAGAATGTGCCATCTTCGAGATATATGTTAAATTCCGGAGTATTATGTGCACTGCACTCAAATTTTTATCGTACTGAGTTTTTTCTGACAATGTTTTAATGAGCTAATACATTATAATAATAATTTGAGATTAAATATTGTATTCGTTTTCCCCTTAACTATGGTTATTATCCCATTTGGTATCCAACGGTAAAGTTTTTAACAAGGCAACTAATCCTCAAGTCATAATTAGAAAATGTTCATTTAAGGGAGAGTGTTGAAAAATAATGAATGATACATCTTCTATTATTCATGATTAAGAAATTATCGTCATCATTACAAAAAATCATACTTATGATTTCAAAAAGGTAGTAGACGTAGTTCAGAATTGTCTCCTAATCTAAATGAGCTTATCCTAATCTAAATGAGCTTACGTTTTAACCCGTTGTAATAATATAATCTCAAATAATTAGAAAATTATATATATAATTTCAATCTAAATGAGCTACATTTTCTCCTCACCCCAAACCTCTGTTAATTTTCCTGTATTTCATAACAAGATTCAAAATTTCACATTTATTTATTCAAAATCTATTCAATTTATTTATTCAAAAAAAAAATGTACAATGCTTTCTAATTAAACCTATATAGTATATGCTCAATGTTAATGCCAACATCCTTTACTGGGATAGGATTCGAATCCTTGAACTAGAATAGGATTCGAACCTGTGACAATCTCCTTTGGAGGGTCAAAGTGATGCATTCTTTCTTAATTCTTATACCGTAGATTTTTGGCAAAAAGTGAAACATAAAAAACTACTCCTTATGTAAAAATTAAAGACACAAACAAACTAAAGATCTCATTATTTTTATTTACGCATATTTAATTAACTCCAACCTAAACTGAAATTAGAAGAAAGTGGAGAATTGTAACCAGAATTTAAACAAGTCGTTCCCTGCCACGCTTTGAATGTCACCCGCAGTCATGTTGCTCCGCCATAATTGATCCTAGAATTGCGATTTAGAGACGGGAATCAGGCTTCGCCGCCGGATCTATAGCGGTAGAACTTGCCGAAGACGTGCAGAGCAGTGACGAATCCAATGAAACAGATGCTCATGATGAGGACGACGGTCGGGCCCACCTTGAGACCTGGAGCGTCATCCGTGTAGAATCTGAGCATGTTGCTTGAGTTTCCGGAAGCTCCCGCTCCGGATCCGGCAGAGGACGTCCCTCCGATCCTTCGGCGGCGCATTCCAGCTGTGGCGGCAGCCGATCCTCGCGGTGCCACCGTGCCGGGACGAGAATTGGAGGAGAAGGTAGGCTGAGAGCTGGTTGGGCGCGCCATTTATCGGCGAAGACAGGAGAGAAATGTCGATGCCGATTCTTCAGTACTTTTGATTGACGAGTGAAGACGCAGATAGGAGATAGGATCTTACAGGAATTATGAAGAAGTATAACAGGGGTGGGAAAAACTTAACAGAAACACGAAGACTGACCCGAATTATGACCCCGGTCCGGGTTTTTTCTTTTTAACCGGCCCGAATTACAAATACCCGGACCGAACCCAAAGTTTCGGTCTCATTAACAGGCCTTAAAATCTATAACCCGGCCCGGACTGAAAAAACCCGAAACAATTAGCTTTAATATAAAATTAATATAATATATGAGTATAAATTTATAAATATTTCCTAATATATATGATTATAATCACGGGGGATAAAAAATCATTTAGTAACTTTTAGTGACTACAAATACGTTCAATTTGTTTAGCATAATGACCATGAAAAATAGATTTATAGGAACTCTATTCACATTTTTATCTATAAATTTTATTTCGAAATATTTTTAAGAAACCTATATTATTTATTTATATGCATCTTAAATAAAATCTCTAAAAACTTATAAAAGTGAATGAGAGTAAGGGTTCTTTGGGTATATGAAATGTGTTGGTGGTACAATAGAGCTAGATTGGATTGTACATTCATTTTAAAACATTGTACCCCTTTAATTATATTCTAACTTTTCTTCCTTTAGTCTTCGCCTCTTTAAACTTCCTTTAACTTTTCTTCAACCAGTGTACTCATTATTTTATACCGGTATTAATTCTCCATCTCCGTTAAACTAAAGCTCGAACCGTCTGTTGTCATCTCCGTTAAGTTTCGACAGCCCTCAATCGTCTCCTCAGCCTTTGCCGTTCCTGGTCTTCCCTATCATCCGTATAAAACAACTTTGTATAAATTAAGCCTCTTAAATTAAGTCGTGTATATATATATATATATATATATATATATATATATATATATATATATATATATATACACACACACGAAGTATATCTTTTCTCTTCCAACTCCACTCATCAGTGTTGTTCATTCCATTTACTCGATCACTGGTGCTCTGGTGAGTTTCATCCCTTAATTTGGAAATTTTGGTGTATTTGATTATTTACTTTTACTTGATTGTAACCATTAATTGGTCAATTCACAATCAACTTCTAACGATTGATGTGGGAGTAGGAAACTAAGCAGCAAAGTATGAACCGGAAGATATTGAGATCTATTGATTTAATGGATTTAGAGACTAAATTTTGTAAATACAAGCAACAAAATATTGGGAGGAGTTTTGGTTGGAATCAGGGGTCAAAAATGCAAGTTTTCTCTCAAAAATAAGATTATTTTTGCAGTGTTATACCTTCTCAGTTTTTTATTCTTATTGCTGATTTGGTTCTATAATCTTCCTCCCTAAGAAGCATCATTTTGGTTGAGGGTTGTTAGATGGACCATGATTTGATATCAAAATTTGTCTTCTTTTCACCTTATTGGTACAAGGTAAATGAATCTCGAAAATTAAATTTCAGATTTATATGTCATCATTTTTAGACTAGGTTATACAGTATAAAATTTGAGATTTCATCAGATTTCTGAAAATGGTCTGTAAGGAATAAATGTAATTAGATTTTGATGATGCTATAGGATTAGAAAGTTAGAATACCCCCAATTAGATTTTATGTATTAGAATTTTCAATTGTAAGTATTAGTGTAGTCGACGATCAGAGTTGCTCTGCTTTGGATCAGATCAGTAGTGCATCAGAATTGCTCGACCAGACTTGCTCTGTGAGAACTGCTCCATCAGAGCTCTCTTATCAGAAGTCCATCAGAGTTGCACCATGAGAGTTGCTGATAAATTGGGACATCTGATAACCGATGAGAGTTACATATCAGAGGTACTCTTCAGCGGACCTATCAGAGTCAGAGTTAGAGTTCAGTCAGAACTCTGAAAGCCATCAGAACTCAGAAAGTCATCAGAATCCAACACATCAGAAGATCCTGATCAGAGCCCGACTAACACTTAGAAGATTTCATGCAACATCCAACAGCTATGAATCCAACGGGTAAAAACATCCAACGGCTAGAAGACTGTGCATGAAAGGAAAGCATTTAATGCACATTAAATGAGCCTGATACGCTGAAGGATTGATTGCAAATGATTGACCAAGGAATCCAGGAAGATATATTATAAAAATAGAAACCTTCCAAAACGGCGGTCAAGTCAACAGTACGCGCATTTAATGCAGTTGTCTCCTCCTCCAACGGGCAGACAACCTCAGTATATAAGCTACACGAAGAAGAACAAGGAAGATAACTTTTGCTCCATTCATTACTCTGAACATACTTCTTGAGATTCAACCTTCATAACACTCTACAAGAAAAAGTCCTACGTTGGGAAGATTCAAACTCCAAATCTTTCATCCCCAACAACGAGCAAAGTTCATCCTGTTCTTCAACACTTCAAGATCTTCATCTACATATCTTTTGTAACGAAGCAAGTTGGAGAAAACTCTGTTTTCAAAACATCTTCTGCAAAGAAGGGCGTCCAAGTAACTGCAGTAGTGAAGTGGTGATACTTCCGGGAAGCTGAGTTAAAGGACCAGCCATCAGGACGTGGAATTGCATCCTGGGTGGCATCTAGGCTTGAAGAAGACGAGGAGTGCTTCTTAAGTGCTAGGGATTAGCTTTGTAACCGATCTACTTCAAAGCTAGTGGAACAGTGGACTAGAGGAACGCGTTGTTCCTTGAACCACTATAAAAATATCCGGTGTCATTTACTTTACTGCAATTTATATTTCTGCACTTAGGATATTAACTGTTAACTCTAAAACTTGGAATCTGTGTTCAGCAGATCTTGTTTTCAGAGTTATCAGAAAGGCATTTGCCTTAGTGTTTCTGAGGCTACCCGGACAGATCAGAATCCGCTGCCAAGGCCAGTTCTGATATCAGAACCAGCCTTTCTCTGTCACCAGAATCAGACCTTCTCTGATAAGTCACTTTGGACTTAGAGAAAATTTGAAAAACCAATCAGTCTATTCACCCCCCCCCCCCCCCTCTAGACTGATTACCATATTAAACGGGACCAACAAGTGGTATCAGAGCCTCCTTGTTCTTGTAATCTTTTAGGTTACCTTCTGAACAAAGGTCCACTTGTTTTTAGCCTCTATTTACTTATTATTATGGATAACTCTCTTGCAAAGCATCTAATGTTCACAGATCAGAAATATGATGACTGGAAGATTCGGATGAAAGCTCATCTTTGTGCCCTGCATGATGAAATGTGGGAAGTCTTGGAGAATGGACCTTTTATCCAATTCATGAAGATCAATCCTGCCCATATCTTAGACAACAATCTGCCTCAGATGGTTGAGAAGACCAGGTCTGAGTGGACCAAGGAAGAAAAGAGACAGTACAACCTTGACAACATTGCCAAGGACATTCTCTACAAAGCTATTGATGAAAGATATTTCAATAGAATAAAGAAGTGCAGGACTGCCAAAGAAATCTGGGACAAGCTAGATGAGATTGGAGCTGGTGATGAACAAGAAAGAGATAACAAGCTAACCATTGCAATGAAGAAGTTTGATGACTTCAAACTTCTGCCAGAAGAATGCATTGCCAAGATGCACGAGAGACTGCTGATTCTCATCAGTGAGATTTCTGAGCTTGGAAAGGAGCTCACCATCAAAGAGGTCAACATGAAGATCCTCAGGGGACTGCCTTCAGCTTGGAAGATGAAGGTGATTGCAGTCCAGGAAAGCAAGAACATCAAGACCTATGCCACTGAGAAACTTATTTCTGATCTCAAGGCTTATGAGTTTGAGATGCATGAAGAGAAGGAGGAAGTTCCTGATGAGAGGACCACCACTGCTCTCACTGCCAGCACCTCAAAGGTAAGTAACTTTGACCCTTCTACTCTTTTATCTGATGAGTATATGGCTGCTTTTGCCAGGAAGTTTAAGAAGTTTATGAAGAAAGATGGAAGGAGTCCATCTTCCATCAGAAGACCACATCAGAAGACCAAATCTTCTGAAAGCAATGGAGAGTACCTCTGCTACAACTGCAGACAACCTGGGCACTTCAAAGCAAACTGCCCCTATCCAAGAGTGTCCAAAAAGCAAGGACAGGAAGAAGAAAAGAAGCATGAAGATCAGCACAGGAGAAGGAAGGCATTCATCTCTGAGCAAGCAGAGAGAGACCCCCTTTCTGAATCAGAGTCAAGCTCTGACTCTGACTCTGATGAAGCATTTTGCTGTGTGGATACAGAAACTGAAGACCTCTGCCTCATGGCTCAATCAGATGATGAGGTATGCTCCACTTCTGATTCTATTTCTTCTTCGGTAGGCACAGCCTTAAATGATGATCCAATGTCATCATTTTGGGAAGAGTTCCAAACTATCTAAGCCACTTATTCTTTTGTTAAAGATGAGAACAGTAGGCTGAAAGTTGATATCTCTGATCTAAGGAAAGAGACTGAGTGCAAACTTAATCTCTTAACTGAGGAAAGAGATGGACTGAAGGCTAAAAATGAGTCTCTTCTTAAAAGAATAAGAGACATTGAGGAACTTGAGAATAGATATAATAGTCTTCTGAAGATGCAATCTTCCATGAAGAATATTGGTGACTCTCATAACTTCACCTCTGGTCTTGGATATGTTGAACCAGAGTCTGGTGAGCCTTCTGTAAGGCCTAGCACCAAAGTTGCTAAGGCTAAAAAGGTCATAGTGCCACAGACTCTGAGCCCCAATTGTCATGCTAGTACTTCTGGTACTAAAGTTGCTCATGAGAAGGTCATACCAGAGAAACAAACTCTAAAGGCCAAACCAAAACAAAGTTTGAAAATTAATGAGCCTGGCAGAAACCCTAACAAAAGGAAGAGTTTTCAGAAAAATAATAATCAAAGGCCTAATCCTATCAGACAATCTCATGACAATGGTATCAGAGACTGCTATCAGAGAGACAGATATCAAGAGAAGATTAACTATAGGCAGAAGAGGTTGTCTGGTCAACCTCAGAAGCCTAAAGTTAAGCGCCCCTCTGATCTTGATAGTATATGAGACTTCTTTCCAACAAAGAAGGCTATGCAAAAGTATGCAAACAGAAAGCATGATCCTCACAAGCATCTGC